CTGGGTCTCTAGGATCATGGTATTATGAGCTGGATAAACCTATGTTTGGACAGTGAAGAGGGTAGCTGTGCTAAGCCTCTCCTCAGCATGTGCCTAGGAATGCTCTGTGGCCCAAAGAAGCAACTGGTTGGAATTCAGGCATCCTTGGTTTAGCACAGAGCATGAACGGGTAGACCCTTCTGCCTTTGCTTGCTTATGGGAAAGCCCATCTCTGCCTGAACTTCTAGAATGCCTACTACTGTTACACAATCCTAGTTGGGGGAAAAGTGTCGAAGGAGCAGGACACACAGAATTTCCCAGAAGTCAGGCTGCAGATTCACTGTCTTTATCAAAGGTGGTGGCACGTGTCAAAACCATGATGACACATGGGGCAGCCTTTGGTAGTTAGTTAAAAATAGCTGAGGGTTTGGTTAACCACAGGAAAGCCTGGGCAGGGGGCAGTCCCTCCCCTCTCACGTTCCCTCCCTGGATGATTCAGGGTGGTCTCTAGCTCAGTGTCAGGAAGCCAGATCTCTGCAGGCCACCTATTGCCAAATGACAGGACTCATCTGGCACAAGTCATGGACAGTGACCAGAGAGGGCAGGGCAGAGGGGTGGAGCCTGGAGGACTCATAGAAGCTGCTACAGCCACATGCACATGGCCTTACATTAGAGCTCTGTTGCTGATGATCCAGAAAGACATATGGTTGACAGATGTTATTTACAAGCAGGACTGAAGAAACTGAAAGAAGCAGAATTCTATGTAGTGTAGTCAGAAAAAAAAAAATTAAAAAAACACAAGCCATTACCACACCCATGACATTTACACATTTCTTTGTGTTTGGGGTTTACTTCTGAAACTCAGATTTTCTTGTGGACTGGCTTGTGTAAAAAAAAATGAAAGTGAGCTCGGAGTCACTTTGATCTCTTTTGCCTCAATTTGGGCAAGTTCTTTACCACGCATTGTAGCACAGTTATTAGACAGAAGGTCTCTGCTTCCCCTCCCCCCCAAATGGTGAGCTCCTTGAGGGCAAGAGCCAGATAAGACCATCCTAAATGCCACCCCCCCCCCCGCCAATATTCCACACATAGTGTTGTTACTGTTTTGACTTTTCTTCTGCCATTGCTGCTATGCATGTAACATATTTTGTAGGGGAGTATTCTCTCCTCTTATGTGTTGGCATGCCTCACAGAACTGGCTTTTTGTACAAGGTGGTCCCAAGCTTGGCATTGGGATGTGAGTTCATGAGGGGAGTTGTTTGGTACTAGTCATGGAGAGGGATGGGAATGAGAAGGACAGAGGCATTAAGGGCTCTCCTCCCGAGAATGGGGGTCCTGCTGTCCATGTGGTGGTTCTGAAAGCAGACCTTCCCCACAGTGGCTTCTCTCAGATTCCAGCAGCATCTTTGGCAGGGCCTCTCAGCCTGCAGGATTGGAAAGAGCAGGCCTGGAACGGGACACCCAAGCCCTCACTGGGGCTCTGCTCTGTGACCGTGCAAGCCCTGTTACATCTTTGGGTTTCAATTTCTTCATCTGTGAAAAGAAACTGCGGGGTTGATTACCATGGTGGTACTTGTTAGCTCAATATGTAGTGAACCATCTCCCCATCCAGTACTAGGCCTCCTCCTTGTATGAGTGTCTGCCTACCCACAGGTGACCTCCTGTCACAATTGTGGTGACTCTTAGAATCATCTAGCAAGTGACCGGATTCTCTTCATCCTGGCTCTCTTGGGTAAGGTCTATGTTTACAAGTGTGGGGCTGGGGTCTAGGAGAGCAATTTATGGAACAGAAAGGCGGTCTTAGTAGTACCATGGGGTGCCCTTCTTGTGGGAAGAGCTGTCACCCAGGAACTGTTGCCAGAATTCCCAGGACTGCCCTCATTCAGCTTTAGAATCTGATGTACAAAATCCGACTGGGGCCTATGGCCCTGGCCTGAATCAGACTAATGTGCCAGATGCCAATTTATAGAAATAGGAAGGAGAGACTTGGAGTCTACATGCCTATCTTCCTCTTGGCGGGCTTAGAAAAATAAGTCCATTGGAATTTACAGTAATACAACCTTACAAATGCAGACTCTAACAATTCTGTGTGTGACCATGATTCACAATATATCCATCAGAGTCCTCTGCAGTTCAGATTTTCTTGGGGGCTGGTTGGTTCACCCCATGCTCTTCTCCTTCATGCCTACCTATCTTCCTTCATTGAAATGTAGGTGAGAGTGAAGATCCAGAGACTGGCAGCTTTCCCTTTTGCCGGACCTCACCCTGTTCACCTGGGGAGTGGGATAAATTCCTTCCTTCCAAGACTCTTGTTATGAGTAGTTTATGCAAAGCCTTCAAGGTATTTGGATGCTAAGGTAAGGCCATCCAGTGCCTTAATCTGCCCATTTGAACTACTAAGGACATTGCCAAGAAGAGCACATGATTTGAAATATTTCAGCATCAATGCAGAATGGCTCATCAGAGAACCTGAGATTGCATATGGATGGCTGGATCAGGTCCACATGGCAGAAAGGCTGAGTGCTCACTCTACTTCTCCAGCAGCATTTCTGGCTCTCCAGGAGATGCCACATGCATTGGGTTGGGAGTGATGACAAGGATATGCAGCAGGTGCTCTGTCCAACGTAAGGGTCATTCCAGGAGCTTCTTTCTGAATCAAGTACAAAGCATGGTATTTGATTCCACAATTCTCTGTTCTGTTAGAACACTTGGAAGTCCAGTGAATGATCGTCTTATTTGGAGTTGATTAATTCCATAAGCCTCAATTTATAAATGTCTGCAATAAAGAGCAAGCAGATACCAGCGATAATTGACAGAGCTTCAAGTCTTTAATGTCACCCTTGGACCAAACAGATGAGTCCTTGTGGGTTGACTTTCCTGGTGGAGCCAGGCATTGGGCCGGTAGGGAGGCATCTGGCCTGTTTTGCAGGCCCACCGAGGCCCAACTCAGATCCTGTCTCAGGGGACCTGTTGGAGAGTTAAGACTTGGCGATGCTTGGATATAAAGTTGGAATCTGCTTTAGAGTCTTCTGGAAGTCAAGGTCAGTTTCTTGGTAGTTTATGAAATATTAACTTTTTACGGAGATGAGAAGTAAAACAGTAACAAAAAATAACTTTTCAGCTTTATTTTTTTATAAAATTTATTTTTTTATAAAATAAAATAAAATAAAATAAAGTTCACCAAGCACCCCAATACACATTACACATATGATCTGGAAACCATATCTAGGCTAGTGCAGGAGACTTGCTGTTTGCTTCTGAGGTGTGGCCTGCTTCCACATCTGGAGGTTTTTCATCTCTTATGAAGAAGTCTCTTTAGGTGCTTGGAAAAACCATATATACGTTTCTCTCGTGCCTTGTCTTCCCATCTAGACAATAGCCTTCTCGAAGAGCAGTGATGCTGTCGAAGATTAATTCGCATGCTCCGCTGTACCAGGCATAGTGCTTGGCCAAACAGGTGCTCTGTGATAGTTGAATTGATGCACGATAATTCTGCTATTTCTTAGTATCTCAGGGAGCCCATGCAGGTGCACGGAACAGATAATCATGAGACGGCTCTGATCCTCCGTGTGAGTTGAATTCCCGGGGAAGCAGATGCTGAGATGGATTTGGAAGCGCAGGAGGTTTATGGAGGGGAGCAATAATGCCTATAAAAGATAAAAGGTGGGGAGGAAACAGGATCGGGCAGCAAACGTGCTCTGAGATTAGTGCAGATCTCACACCTGTGACAGGAAAAGGGGGAGGAGGCAGGACGCGAGCCAACGGAGTGGCAAACTCCAAGGCAGATCCGACAGAGTCTTGGGGAATCCAAAAGGGAGTTCCCGAGAAAGAGATCGTTCTTGCAGGAGTGCGGTACTGGGCAGAAAGGATTGGGCCCTAGCAGCCCTGCCGTGTAAGAGCTGCCCGGAAAGCGTGTCTTCAGCACAAAGGCCGAGGCAGATCCAGAAGGCGCCAGCACTTGGGAGGCTGTCCACTAAGTGAAAGTCACGCAGCTGGACTGCAACTTCCTTCTGGAAGGGAGGTGGAGGCAATGCGCGTCTGGCTGTACACACTCCTCCCTCGTTTCTCCACCTCGCCTGGTTGTACACATCCATACCGCATCTGTAGCCACTGCCATTAAATTTGCCCCAAAGATATTTTGCAGGTTGGATTACTTCTCTGTGTCTCCTACATGGGCCCAAGGGAGCGTCCTCTCTTTCCTGGACTCATAATCAATTTCATGAGAATGTGGTCAGTGCTGTCACACAGAGCCCCACACTCCAAAGGACACTCCACTTAGGCTTTTGTGCTCTGCCTCAGCTGTTTCCAAATTCTTAATTTTATCTTTGAATTTGTGTCTTGTAAGTGAAGCCTGATGGGACGGTGGAGTACGTGCAGGGTTCTTGGAACCTTGGCTTACACACATGTCCACATCCTGCTGCCTCCCTGCCTCCTCAGACGTTTCTTGGCTACTCGCTGCCCCGGTCCCTGGCACCTGCCTAGCCTTCTCACGACCGCTTTGACTACTGCCACCTTCTGCCTCTGATGGGGACCTGGGAAGAGGTGTGTGGGGGGGGGGTGCTGGGATTGGGTATGGGTCTTGGGGCGGGCCTGGGAACGCCTGTCTCTGCCCTGGCCTGGAAGTGCCCGGATGTATTTGGCAGGTGGCTCAGCTGGGGGGAGTCTCTTGCTCACAGCCAATCCAAGGACCTAGCGTGTCCAGGTGTGAAGGTTGCAATTCTTTTGAAGGTCCCTCTCTGCCATAGGCAGGCTCATGGGAAAAGGAGATTTCTGGCTCAACTTCCCACTCCTAGCTCAGGCACACATCAGTAGGGCTGACAGCATGCAGGGGCGGGGTGGGGGGGGTGGTGCTGGCAGCTTTTGGGCTGCATGGGCATATTGAGTCATAGGATAGGACCCCAAGGTGCCTGTGATGGTCTGCACTCACCGTATGAGTATCTCCATGCCCAAGGGAGCGTGACACTAAATAGCAAGTAGATGGGCCCTAGAATATCCCCTTCTGATCTCCGTCCCCCTCCCAGCACACGATGGCTGGGCCCCTGCGCACCCCACTGCTCCTTCTGGCTGCCCTGCCCATGATCCTCGAGAGGGACTCCAGGGAAGAAGAGCCTCACCCGGACCGCGCTGGGTGGAAAGCCGACATCGAAGAGGAAGGCGTGCAGGAGGCGCTGAACTTTGTCCTCAGCGAGTAAAACAAGACCAGCGACCACGAGAACCCCAGCCACGTGCTGCAGGTGGTACAGGCCCGCAAGCAGATCATGCCTGGGATGAACTACTTCCTGGACGTGGAGTTCAGCTGAACAAAATGCCCAACGTGGACAGCTGTCCCTTCCGTGAGCAGCCAGACCTGCTGAGGAAAAAGCTTTGGTGCTTCCAGATACACACAGTCCCCTGGCTGGGCAAGACTTCCGTGGAGAAGTCCAGCTTCCAGGGTGCACAGGGGACCCTGTAACAGGCCCCTTCTCACCATCATCCCCTCTTGTAGAGCTGCTAAGCTTGAGATGGGTGACCCTGCCCTGGTGAATGTCCCATCGGCATGCCGGCTCCAGGAAGCAAATAGAGAAGGGTTCTGGGATGTTTTTGAAAAGCTTAGTGGTTCCACCTCCTTTCTTTTCATTGCTTTCCAAATGCACCAGATGTAGTGCACGTGTTCTGCTCTGTCTTAATCAATAAACACTAACATCAGCTAATAAATAAATAGCATGCTAAAAACACAACACCAGGACAGAAAGCAGAAGAAAAGAAAGAGCTTAATATTTTAATCTAAGCACTTTTATCCTGCTTTGTGAACCAGGGGCCTCACGGTTTCATTTTGCACAGGTCCCTACAAATAATGTAGCTTGCCCTGGATTACTTCCATAACTTCCTAGCTGTCTCTTGACATCCACCTTAGTTGCCTTCCAACCTATTCACATTGCAGACAGATTCAACGCTCCAGACCAAAATCTGATTAGGTTCCTGCCTCCCTCCAGATAGGGCTGCTGATAGCTCCCCATTGGTCTCAAGGTAAAGTCCTTTAAGGCCTGTCACAGACAAGGACCATGCTCTACCTGTTTACTACACCCGAAGGCGATTCCTCTGCGTGCAAACCACTTTCTGCTTTCTCTTTCCCAGAAGGCATGTGAGGTTTCCAGAAGCACCCCTTGAGACAGTGGGAGTTGGGGATCAATGGTCCATCATTCTTTGCCCTCAGTGGGACAAATCTGAGGTATTTTCTACATGGTCTTTCTGCTAAGCTCACAGCACAAAAAAACCATGTAGCACTTTTCACTGCCTGCATTATTGCTTTCCTTTCTTCCCTCCCTGCTTCTCCCTCAAGGAGCTCTCTGGAATCACCGCCTGTTAAACTACCTGAATCCATTCCTCACCTCAGAGTCAGCTTCTGGAGGAACCCGAACTAAACCTGGCCCCATCTGCCCTGTAGCCTCATCCTGCACTGTTCTCCCTCTCACTGCCCCACATACAGGGCCTCTGTATGTGCTGCTCTTTCTTTCTGAAAAGGATTCCTACCCCCTTCTCCATCCCAACTCCCCCTTCCTGACTAACTCCTATATGCCCTTCAGATCAGCTGGAAAAACCTCCACAGGGCAGCCTTTCCAGAGTCAGTCACAGATTGGTTCTTCAGTTCTACTTTCTCAGACCCTCTGACCACTGAGATTGGTTTGTAAATTTGTGTGCATGATTATGATAATTTGATTAATACTTTACCCTCAGTAGACTGTCAGCTTCTTGAAAGGAATGACCACATGCCTTATTGCTTTCCATTTTCTCTCCCAAAAGCACCACAAAGCCAGGCTTGTTATTGGTGTCCAATTAATATTCATTCAAGCCAAATGAATTTGAAGATATTTTAAAATTGTCATGGAGGTTACTCACAGCAATGACTCAAGAACTCTCAAATCGTTTAAGCTGTGTGACCTTGGGCACTTTCCTTCAACTCTCTGAGCATCAATTTCCTAACGTGGAAATGGGGGTCATAACAGCCTGTAGGTTATAGGGGTTTCTTAAGAAGCAAATGAGATCTTGCAGGTAAAGTACTTAGCAAGGTGTCTGACACATTCTAAGTCTGAATTAAAATATTAGGCTTCTTTCTTTCCATCGACACAGTTTGTGAGAGACTGGGGATTACATGGAAGGATGAGGAAGAGATAGAAAATAAAACCTATGGGAAAGGCAAAAATGATGGAATCAGTAGGTCTGGAAAAAAGAAATATGAGGGATTCTGATATGCTACACCATGAATGAAAAGAGGTGGGTCCCCAGGATGTACTAGTGGGCTCTTCTCCATCTTCACTCAATATGAGATCTGAGAAAATTTTGACAGACGTGAGCACGTGAGATAATTTCGTTGCAAAGTAAAATTTCTATTAGGAACCCAAGTTAATTGCTGCTTCCCATCTCTTATTTCTATTCTTCAGTATCGTGATAATTTGGTCTACACGTAAGCATCTCCGTGTTGCAAGAGGCTTGTGGTGTGTCACTAGAAACTGACATCCGTGTTTCAGGGCAGTGTATTAATTTCTATCCAGGCATAGTCAGCCAAGGCACATCCTGCCTTTGCGTGTTTTCTTTGACATGTGCTCTCCAGATGAGCAATTAACATTTAAGTGTGCATTTCAGTGCTTTTTAAAGATGAGGAAATGTAAGACAATGGAACATACTTGTGACATAAATTCTCTGACATAATTAAAAGTTGAGATGGGTGAACTGTTGCCTAGGACTTAATTCCTATAACCTGAATCCTATTTCATTTTTGCATGTTTAGTTTAGTTGTCTACTTACATAGTATGTATTGTATTTATTTTTGCATTTAAATATTTAATATTTTTATCCTGTTATATGTGTACTTATTTAGACATTGAACAAATATTTATTTATTAAGCATCTTCTAGGTGGAAGGGGTAATGTGAGGACTCAGGAAAGAGCTGGAGATGTTTCCAACTCTAGAGGGCCTCAATCTGACAGGAGTGAAGAATCTAGAACAGAGATAATTCCTCACGCGATCAAGGATTATTTGGCACTGCTATGTTCCAGGCACAATTCTAGGCACTGATGATACAGTCTTGAGTAAACAAGATAAGGTTTTTACTTTTTACAGGCTACAGAATATAATTCCAGATTATATATGATATGTTTTATAAAAGAGCAATACCAAGGCATTCACAAGTTTGGAAAGGAAAGAGTACATCCATCCAGGAGATTTTCAAGGAGGAGAGGGACCTTAGAGAAAAAATAAAAATGTGACAGCTGGATAAAAAGCCCTGGGCTTTCCAGGGGGGTGAGAGATCATAGAAGCGTAAGATTCTGATTCCTAATTCCAGTGTGTATGGTTTTTAAAAGCAATTCTCTGTGGGGCGCCTGGGTGGCTCAGTTGGGTGAGCGTCTGACTTCGGCTCAGGTCATGATCTCGCACTCCGTGAGTTCGAGCCCCGCGTTGGGCTCTGTGCTGACAGCTCGGAGCCTGGAGCCTGTTTTGGATTCTGTGTCTCCCTCTCTCTCTGACCCTCCCCCGTTCATGCTGTGTCTCAAAAAATAAATAAACGTTAAAAAAAAATCTTTAAAAAAAAAAAAAGCAATTCTCTGTAACACCAGTTGGATGTCCTACAATTCCACACAATTCTGACACTATCTACTGGGAGATAGCACCAGATGCCACAGGTTGAGGGCCTATTCCTACAAGACTGTCTCCACTTCAGATGCCAATCTCAAGTTCCTGTACTTCTGAGCAACTGGCTATAAATCAGATGTTCCCATGCTCCCCACTTTGGGTTCAATTAATTTGCTAGAGCAGCTCATAGAACTTAAAAACTTGCTTACTCACTAGATTACTGATTGATTAAACAAAAGATATTAAAAGGTAGAATCAACAGCCAGATGAAGATATATAGGGCAAAGTCCCGAACAAAGGGGCAAGTCCTCAAGGAGTTTGGAGCTTGGCGTGGTGGCAAGTAGAAGAGTTCTGGTTCACCAACTTGGAAGTTCATCCTTTTGGGCTTTAATGGAGGCTTCATTACATGGGCACAATTGGTTAAATCATTGCCCATTAGTGATTGATTCAAACTCCAGTCCCTCACGCCTAGAAGTTAGGGGTAGGACTGGAAGTTGCAACCCTCCAATCACATGGTCAGTTCTAACAACTAGCTCCCACCCTTAGGTGTTTTTCAAAAGTCACTCTATTAACATAACTAAAGATACCTTTATCACTCTTTTCACAAGAAAATTCTAAGGGTTTTAGGAGCTCTGTGCCAGAAATGGGTCAAAGACCAAATATGTATTTCTTATTATAAATCACAGCATCACAGGGTCTTGAGTGGTTGAACACATGAGCCATGTTCAGGGGATTGCATGTTATCCATTAAAGAGTTGACTGTGAAAAAAGAAGTGGAGATAAAGTTCTAGAACTCTCTCCATAGAGCTATACAGGGTTTCTCAACCTCAGCACTATTGACACTCTGAGCTAGATAACTCTTTATTGTGGAGGCTGGTCCTGGGCATTGTAGCATGTTCAGCAACATCCCTGGCCTCTATTCATTAGATAACAGAAAGTAGTGTAGGGGACGAAAACTTTTTCCTTCATCGCTTTTAGGTTCTTTGGCTGGTCTAATAATTAAATTGACATAAGACAGGTTAACAGGAGAAAAACAAATTTAATTACATATATACAGGAGCCCCACAAAAACATGAGATTGTTAGGAAGCAATTAAGGTGTATAGGCCGTCCTGAGCTAGCAGAAGGGGATGGGGTCTGAGACTAGAAAATGGGGAAAGATGATTCACAGGAAGATGGGCAGAATAAGAGTTTGGTAAACAAATATTTGCCATGCCACCAGGAAAAGTCTTTCTTATGTAAAACAGAACAAAACAAAACAGATATTTCTTCCTGGTACAGGCTGTCTACCTAAATTCTTTTATTAAGGGTGAGGTAAAAAAGCTCTTATTGAGTCTGTTGGGCCTTAATCATCTTCAGTCAAAATAATTCACATGCCGAAATGGTGCATTCTGGGGCAGCCTGCCATGAACCTCATCAGTAGCATGTTCCCAGTTGTGGCAAACAAAAATGTCTCTAGACATGGCCAAATGTCCCCTGGAGGACACAGTGGCCCCACCTGAGGACAGCCACAATAGAGGAAGACTAGATTGTGGTGACCCTTCACAACCAAAGTAGAAAGTACTGATTTTAATTGGATGTAAAGGGCCCATCGATATCAACTCAGGATTGAGCTATTTGCTTTGGGTGTCACATGGAAGTTTGAAGACATTGAGAGGGTGTTGGAGAGGTCACTGAAGGAGACTTGGTAATCAGAGATTAGCCAGGTCATGAGAGGAAGACGAGAAAAGAAAGACGATGGTAGAAATATTATTTACCTACCTTTTTCCAGTTTCCAAGTCTTTTCCAACTATCTGTTTGTTTTATTCTTCTGATTGTTGAAGGGCTAATGGCTGAAATTTGCTCTTTGAAGGAAGATACTGCACAATGTTATAAAAGTAACTTCAATCATTTCTATGTTATAGGTGAAGTAGATTTCTTAAGGGACACTTCTGCCTTGGGGAAGTAAGGATAGAAAATTGTGCAATTATGTGGGTTGATCTGGGACCATGGGAAATTGGAGACAAGAGATTTAGTCCTCTCAGGGCTCCCTGGTGGTATTTCCAGGCTGGTGAAAGTTGAAAAGATGTGCTTAGAAAAACTTTCCAACTGTAAATTCAGCCATCTTTATAGAAAACTTTGGAAGAACAACTCTGCATCCATCTTGTAGTATGCGAGTAGTGTGTGTGTGCTTGTGTGCATGTGTGTATCTACATATGTGTGGTTCCTTTTTCTTGCCTTAACACTGTTAGGGCTTGAACTTATCTGCATGCCCTAGTATGGTTCTCTGTTTCAGAGTGGTCATGAGCAAGAAATATGGAAACCTGGTGGTTTCCAAGCCCAGTACTTCTGCTGATACACTGTGGGATGTTGGGCAAACCATTTAACCTCCCTATGCCACTGCTTTAGGTCATTGAGAATGAGGAAGCAAGATTCCATAAGACGTTTAACTTTCAAAATAGGTTGTGGTCAAAGAGATTGAGTGTCCTGGCTAATTGGCTCTCTCTCAGTCAATCTCCCATTTCTAGATTATGATAAAATTTTGGAATGTGGTAGAGTCAACAGCTACTCAGCCTGTCTGTGGTTTTACCATAAGTTTGATCTTGAGCTTAGATATATGGGTCCAAATTGTAGCCCTTAATAAGCCCTCTCAGATTCTTCCTGAGGCTCCACTGGTGGAGAGCAAGGTGTAAGATGTCAGGAAAAAAGAGAACACCTGAATAATCTAGTGGCCAGAGCCAGCTTTTAAGAAATAATTTTGCCACCCTGCTTAGACCATTGATCTTTTGGCTTAAAAACAACTTGATTTGTCTTACACATTTTTTTGGTTTAACTCAATATGTACTAATTAAGTGCTTCCTAGCACCAGGAGCTGGGCAATAAGCAGAAAACAAAAATATACCTGAAGTTCCTGTTGTCATGGAGGTTACATTCCAGTAGGAGGAGACGATCCGTACAGAAATAAATGTTTGTGTAATTTTTATTTGGGTTATGATAGGTGATAAATAAGTTATCGTAGAGGAGAAAGGATGATGGGAAGGTTTTAATCTTTTAGATAAGGTGGTCAGAGGAGGCATTTCTGAAAAGTGGCTTTTGAGCAGTGACCTGAAGGTAGTGGAAGAAGGAATGTCACAGCCAGCTGGGGAAGAGCATCCCTGGGCAGAGGGGAGCAGAGATGAACAGATTCTGAGAAGAAAGACTGGTGTGTTTGCTGAGCACAGAAGAGACTGCTTGAGGCTCAGACTATGGCTACAAACAGGCTAAGGAATATCCTGAGGTCCTGAGAGACAAGCAAGTGTGCTCAGCTATTTTGTGTCCCTTTCTGTTTTTTCTATTTCCGGTTCAGAAATGTGCAAAAATACCTGTTGCTCTCTAGTTCACTGGGAAAAGCTAGGTTCTGGTTTAAGGCAGAACAACCAGCTTGTTGGAGAAAGGAGACATTCAGAGAAAACTCTAAATGATGTAGTTCTTCTACCTATTGGAATGAGAGCCAATACAAATGGATTGGGGTTGGAGAAATGAGTGAGAGAGATTTGAGCATTATGATTACCATCTGTGAATATCAGCACCAGGACGCTGTGAACCTTTGGAGGGTCCTCTTGGCCCAGGGAGTCCAGAGAAGGTCAGCAGTATGTAGAATGCGGCTCCAAGTCCATGATGTTTAGTTTCCTTTTCAAGAGGGGCCATGTCTTCATTTCCTGGCACCTCTGATGGCTTAGAACACAGTACTAGACAAATCATCAGCACGCAATCAATGTTTACTGAATGAATATGTTGTAATTGCATCTGGTGGAGCCAGAAGAACCTTGGGGGAGATTGAGGTCCTGGCCCTTGCTTATTAAAGTATGAGTTTGTTGCAAGGCCAGTATGAAAAATATCTTCTAAAGTTATCTCAGTATGGACTCAGTAGTCATAAACCAATCATTTGCCATAAAGTGGACAGCAAGGGGTATTGTCCTGATAGAGATTTGTTACCAAAGCTGTAGTGGTCACAAGATTCTGGTCTCATATGAACAATGACTTTTCGATGACCACATCCATAAAACACTTGCATACTTGCCAAAATTGAGAAACACATTAGTGGCCATGATTTGCTCCTGTATTTGTACAGCATGTGAGATCTCACTGTTGAGTGGAATATTCCAGCTCCCATTCTTGGGAGATGAATATCTTATATTTTATATTTATCTATTTTTTATGAGATCTTAAGTGAAAGAGAGTCCACAAAATCACTTGGAAAAAGTGTGAGGAAATACTAGCATTCCTTTATTTTTTCTATCATCATCATCATCATCGTCATCATCATCATCATCATTTTCATTACTACTGTGTTAATTTTTTTTTTATTGCTTAGAGTGACCTTTAGTTATTTTTCTTCCAGATATGTTACTGAGGACCCTTTGCCATAGGGTAAATTAAAGAGTTGCTAGTTTTTTTTCACGGAGAGTAATGATTCAAATTTCATTGATTGGAATAATAATCCATCAAGTCATGCAGAGCTGATGCTATAGTCCCACTGTTCTGCAAAATAGCATTGCATTTGTTTGCTCTTGTCTGAAACCTCTAACTTTCTTCATGACCTTAGAGTACATTATTTAGCATCTCAGAACCTCATTTTCATCACATGTAAAAATAGATTTTTTTTACATTTTAAAATTTCTTGAAATGATTGGTATATGCATTCTTTCAGGTCTTGTGAGCTGAAATCATTAGCTGTGATCATAAATAGAACTGGATAAAAACTATAATAACTGTCAGATAGAGTTTACCTATGTTAATAAGCACACTGCTTAGCTTTTTAGACATTCAAAGAGCTCCTAGGTAGACTAAAGTCTTCAGAAATAGGATTGGTCTCCACATGTTCAGACCAGCATAGGTTAAGCAGTTTAAATGATTTTTTTTTCCCTCATTGTCAACACTTCTCGCATCTGATATCCTGATTACACATTTATACTTCCCTTAGCATTATCACTCAAATTTTGATTTTTAAAAAGTCAGTATAAGCAGGATAATCTGTACAACTATGATCAGAAAATTGTACGGGAGACCTCATTCAGTTCTGAGATTCTCTGAGCTTCAGCCCTTATGTACCATGGGTTGGTATACTCAGTCATAGCAATTATGATAACCATTTTCTAGAAGAGCACACTGACATGCAGAGGTATCGTAACTTCTCAGCACAAGTTCACACATTATATAAAGTGGCATTCACACCCAGGCTGACTTGACCTCAGTGCTTATTTCCTTAAATACTACATTACATTGCCCATACCAAAGAAAATTGTAACCCCTCAAAAATTCTCAGGCAATACATTTTATTTTATTTTAAAATATGAACATAGTAACAAGTCATAAAATGATGGAGATTTAAAATAAAGCAATGTACATTTTGTATAATATCTGGGGATATGGATATGGAGTTGGATTTAGACAAATGAAACAGTATCAAGGTTTCTTAGCCACTGTTGTGTTTTATTACTTTAGGTTCAATTTGACTACCATGAGTCACAAGCTAAGAAGACTGAGCAGTTCAGCTTAGTATTGTCACTTAATTCAATTACAATAAATTTGATCATACATATGAGTTCTGTTGTATTTTTTTGGTGAGTGGCCACAGTTTCATGGACATTGGGTTACATTTAGTATTTCAATGATTACTTTAGTGTGGGTTTTATAGGAAAAATAAAACTTGTCTTCTCCCATTTTATAGTTTAACCAGTGTTAAGAATTGGTCTCATTAGGAATACTTTTTTTCTGGTGCTATGTTCTTTTTCATTGTTACCATCATCACCAGGCATATAATCACATTCGGGCCCTAGATTTTACTCTCCAGTAGAGTTCTCTTGTTCTTGATTTTGAATATGCTGTGTGCAGTGCTGGGATTTTCTGTACCCTAGTCTAATGCTTCATGCTTCCTGGCCTTCTAATTTGTTGGGGCATCTCCAATACTATGATGCAGGTCTAATTTGAAATCTCTTTCATTCTTTGCAGAATATGGGTCAGTCCGTGGACCTTGTTCAGAAAGATAGAGTCAGCATATCACATTGGGGTTAGTCCCAAAGAACTGGGTCATCAAGAACCTCTAGAAACTGAGGTTGCCTTGGGGGCCAGGTTAGGATCAAAGCAGGCCATGACTCCTTTTGAGGAATAAGATTGTCTTCAGGAAGGGGAGAGGGCCGAGTCAGAGTGTGCCCTGGACTCTGACTTTGGACAGGTGGGGCAGGAAGATGGGAATAGACCAGATACCTTCTTGCTCCTTTTGGTTAAGTGTCCTGCCACCTCCCATTCCACTTCAACACTGGAACACAATGCAACAGAAAAGTTCCTGCAGGAAAAGTTTAGGTTGGAGGTGAGTTTTAGGTATAACAGAGCGTGAGGGATAGGGAAACTTCCTTGACTTCCACCAAAGCCTCCTGCCAAGATCTCCCCATCTGTTTTCTATTGTCTGAGATTCCTTTAACATATGTTTGTAATTGCATAATAAGAGATTAAAGGCTTGAAATTGCAAATACGGTAAATGATGAGTTCTTTGTTGAATTTAAAGTAGGGGTGACAAAGGGGACTTTAGAAATACATGAAAAAATGCCTGACCTTTATAATGTTCCTTGGGCCAGTCCTGTCTATTTTTATCCTGGTGAGACCCTTTGTGTAACAGGTTTTTTGTAGAATGATTCTTCATGCTCTGAACCTCTAATCACAAGTCATCAGTGTCTATTTTAAAAAATTTTTTTACATTTATTTATTTATTTTTGAGAGACAGAGAGAGAGGGAGAGAGAGCGCGCGCGCGCACAAGCGGGGGATGGGCAGAGAGAGGAGACACAGAATCCCAAGCAGGCTCCAGGCTCTGAGCTGTCAGCACTGAGCCCAATGCGGGGCTCGAACTCACAAACTGCGAGATCATGACCTGAGCTGAAGAAGGACGCTCAACCAACTGAGCCACCCAGGCACCCCATCAGTGTCTATTTTAATGGTGTTTTCCACACAATGACACTGTCATCAGTGAATAAGTCTGACACGTTGGAATATTCCAAGATTCTTTTAAAAAGTGCTTTTGGAGGATTTATGTTACCTCTGGTAGGTGACAGTGGTGTTCAGTGCACCTGCTATATACATCTAGCAAGAAGGCAATCTGGGACATCATCTAGAAAATTGAAACAAAAAAGAAAGGGATGTTAGTCATTGAGGGAAAAGAGGAGCATTGTCTTGACTTTTATGAGTGAGATGCTTATTTTGGATTGAACTGAGCATTTTATTTATTTGCTCATTTATTATTGAGCAAATACTGACCCCAAAGCAATCCTATAGATTCAATGTAATCCTTGTCAAAATACCAATAGCATTCTTCACAGAACTAGAAAAAACAATCTTAAACTTTTTAATGGAACCACAAAGATCCTGAATAGCCAAAGCAATCTCAAGAAAGAACAAAGGTGAAGGAATAATACTCCCAGATTTCAAAGTATACTACAAAGCTGTGGTAATCAAATCTGTATGGTACTGGCACAAAAACCAACACACAGATCAACAGAACAGAACAGAGGGCTAGATAAACTCATGCCTGTATGGTCAATTAAATAAATGAGAAAGGAGGCAAGAATATACACTGGGGAAAAGAGAGTCTCTTCGATTAATGGTGCTGGGAAACCTGGACAGCCATATGCAAAAGAATGAGACTGGCTCTCTTTCTTCTACCATATACAAAAACGAACTCAAAATAAATTGAAGACTTCAGTGGAAAACATGACACTATAAAACTTCTAGAAGAAAACATAGGCAGTAAGCTCTTTGACATCATATACATATATATACAGTAACTGTCTCTTGAGGCAAGAACAACAAAACCAAAAATAAATGGGACTACATCAAACTAAAAAACTTTTGGGGACTTCATCAAGATAAAAAGCTTCTGCACAGTGAAAGAAACAACCAACAAAACTAAAAAGCAGCCTATGGAATGGAGAGAAGATATTTGCAAACGACATTTCAGATAAAAAGTTAGTATCCAAAATCTATAAAGAACTTATTGAACTCAACACTCAAAAACACAAATAACCCAGTTAAGAAATTGGTAGAAGACATGAATAAACACATTTCCAAAGAAGACATCCTGATGGCTGACAGACACATGAAAAGATGCTCAACATGACTCATCAAAAGGGAAATACAAATCAAAACCACAATGAGGTATCACCTCACACCTGTCAGAATGGCTAAAATAAACAACACAAGAAACAACAGATGTTGGTGAGGATGCAGACAAAGGGGAACCCTCTTGCACTGCTGGTGCGGCCAACACTGAAATGAAAACTGATGCAGCCATTCTGGAGAACAGTGTGCAGGTTCCTTAAAAAACTAATAATATAACTACTCCACAATCCAGCAATTGCACTACTACATATTTACCCAAAAGAAACAAAAATACAGCTTTGAAGGGGTACATGCACCCCAATGTATATAGCAACATTATCAACAATTGCCAAACTATGGAGAGAGCTCAAATGTACATCAACTGGTGGATGGATGGATAAAGAAGATGTGATATATATATGCAATGGAATATTACTCATCCATCAAAAAGAATGAAATTTTGCCATTTGCAACAACATGGATGGAGGTAGAGTGTATTATGCTAAGCAAAATAAGTCAGTCAAAGAAAGACAAATACCATATGATTTCACTCATATGTAGAATTTAAGAAACAGAATAGATGAACATATGTGAGGGAGGGGAAGAGAAGAGAGGAAAACAAACCACAAGAGACTCTTAATGATAGAGAACAAACTGAGGGTTGATGGAGGGAGGTAGGTGGGAGGTGGGCTAGATGGGTGACAGTTATTAAAGAGGGCACTTGTAGTGATGACCACTGGGTGTTGTGGGTGTTGTATGTAAGTGATGAATCACGGAATTCTACTCCTGAAACCAATATTGCACTGTATGTTCATTAAATTAAAAAAATAAATAAAAATAAAAAGCTTTTGCAGGGCGAAAGAAACCATCATTGAAATGAAAAGTAACTTACTGAACGGGTGAAGATATTTGCAAATGATATATCTGACAAGGGTTTAATATCCAAAATTATAAAGAATTCATAAAATTCAATATAAAAAAACCAATTCAATTAAGAAATGGGCAGAGGACAAGAATAGACAATAGTATGGAGGTTCTTCAAAAAATTAAAAGTAGAACTTATCGTTTGATCGAGCAATTCCACTTCTAGGTATTTATTAGAAGAAAATGAAGACACTAATTTTAGAAAACATATACATCTCTTTGTTTATCACAGCATTATTTACAATAGCCAAGATATGGAAGCAATCTAGTTGCTCGTTGATAGATGAATAAATAAAGCAGATGTGCTTTATCTATAATATCTACCTATCTATATCTATAATATATTATTATAGATTACATCTATCCTTTATGTATCTCTAGCTCTCTATCTCTATCTCTGTTGAACACAAAAAAGAATGAAACGTTGCATCTGTGACAACATGGATGGACCTAGCGGGTATTGTACTAAGTGAAAAGTCAGACACACAAAGACAAATACTATATCATTTCACTTATATGTGGAATCTAAAAAGACAAATGAGCAAATGAAACAGAGACACTCTCAGGTACAGAGAAAAAACTGATGGTTGCCAGTGGGGGGAGGGTAGGGAGAAGGACAAAATAGGTGAAGGAAATTAAGAGCTATAAACTTCTGGTTATAAAAGAGATAAGACAGGAGGATGTTACGTACCACATAGGGAATATCGCCAACAATTTTGTAACAAGGTCATATTGTAAAACACAGCAACCAGACTTAGTGATGAACATTTCCTAATGGATCTAAGTATTGTCACTACGTTATACACCTGAAAATAATGCAATAGCGTATGTCAATTATACCTTAATAAAACAAAAATGCTCAGCACTTGTTATGTTCTAGAAAGAATACTCAGTGCTGCATTTACAGTAGTCAACAGGAAAGATGTGGTTCCTTTTTGCATAGAGCATAGTCTGGTGTCTAGATGTGAGCCAAAAGATTCCATGAGATCAGCTGGTCTAAACCTCATTTTATAGATTAGAAAATGGAAGCACCAAGAGGTAAAGGAAATTGCCCTTTAGCATAGCTGGGTAGTGGCAGAGCAAGAACTGTAACTTGACTCTTGCAACTCCCAGTCCAATTCTCAGCTTAAACTAACCAAGTGAGTTAGCACAGGCCCACTGGCATCGTGGCAATAATCCACCAGACAGTTCCCAGTGGCCTGAAAAGGTCCCTGCCCTTCCTTAAGTCTCAAAAATGCTCCAAAAGTGACTTAAATGTTGGGATGAATTTGGTTCATGACATTGAGCATGTTGAGGTGTGATGAAGAAGCAGAGCCATGAATTCATTTGGGAGAAAGTCGTCTTTTCCCCCTCCTTCCCCACCCTTCCCACAGCCCCTCTGTGCATTTCTGGGCCTGCCTGAGCAGAGGAGTTTGGCTGACTACTGGATTGTTATTAAAATGATAATTAAAGAGGTAAGAGGAAAGGAGCACGTTCCAATACCATTCAAAAGAGTCAGCACTTTCCCTGGATAATGAATTCTTTATACCCCGGGTTATTGCTCAACTGAAGGGAACCTGCAATGCAGTTGTGTCTGGAATCAACGAGTATACATTCTCAACCAATAGATTCAAGGTTGACTTCTTGTTTATAAACAACACCTTAGAACAGGAAAGTAGGTGGGCCTTGAATCATCATCCAATGCAATCATATTGTATCTGCTGCTGTTCTTTGCAAGGCTTTTGCAGGCAATTTTTAACCTCCTTTTAAGATTGCCTTTTAGAGAGCTCCATATTCCAGGGATTTTCCTGGAAAATAGGAGTTTTAAGAGTTTATTGGGAGCTTTCTTTTGGGGCACCTGGATGGCTCAGCCGATTAAACATCCAACTCTCGATTTCGGTTCAGGTCACGATCTCATGATTTGTGAGTTCTAGCCCCACATCGGGCTCTGAGCTGACAGCATGGAGCCTTCTTGGGATTCTTTCTCTCCCCCTCTCTCTGTTTCTCCCCTGTACTCTCTCTCGCATGCTCATGCTCTCAAAAATAAATAAATAAATAAATAAATAAATAAATAAATAAATAAATAAATAATATGAAAAAGGTTTTTTGGGAGCTTTTAAATTTATTTCATATGGCACTGGAAGTGCATTTTAGTATGGAAGGTTGGGGGTTGCTCCTGCAGGCCACCCAAAGTCACCAAAGAGAAGGGTCTTTCTTGGAGTTTCTCCCAGCACCAATTTGACTAGTGGTCTTTGCGTGTGCATGCATCCCACTCCCATGGGTGAGCCCGGGGTCCAGGGAGCCACTGGATGGCACTACCATATCCCCCCTTTGTCTCCCACTCAAGTTTCCCACTCAATGAGTTTCCCAAACTCATTTGACCTCTGAACCCTTTCTTTCCGGGTTTTCCTATCAATAATTCATGGAACTACTGTTCTGAAGAACCAAACTTGAGAAACAATGAGAAACAGACATGAAGCTGGGTGAATGTGATGATGTTGCAGGACTAACCTTGCAGCAGTTCAGTTTATGAAAACGAAACATGGAATTCACAAAATTCTGCACTTTATTTTTTATCGTCAGTTCCCATAGGAGTTGGCACAGGACTGACAAGTGAATGGAGCTGTTAGGTCTATAGCCTTTAGTTCTGTAGACATGGGAACCACCGTGAACCCCTTGGGCTATGCACAGTGTCCACTTCTGCACCAGAGCACTTGCCCCATGGAGGATGTGTCTTAGATTAGCAGGGCTTCCTCATGTCTGTGGGCTCACCAATGCCTCATTTCCCATCAGCAAGAGAGGAAAAGCAGGCAAAAAGATAGTCACTCAATTATTAGTCATGCTGGGAAACTTATCTGTTTCAGGAATTGGTTCCTCTCAAGCAAGGGTGGCAGATATGTGGTCCAGCTTGCAGACTAACGCATTTCCCAGTACTATCACTAATACTCAATGTGTGCTATTTCCAGCTCGTCATTTGTTCCCTGGCTTGCGAAACTACCATACAAGAGCGCAAAAACATTTCTGCTCCCTTGGGCCATTTCCTCCTGACATTCTTTGATGATTACCTCTGAAGCAGTGGGGATCACTTCTTCGCTTGGTCAACATATTTAGCTGATGGCGCTTTGTCTCACCAGAAACAGGCCAGCCCTGGCTGGTCCTGGCAACATGCCTGTGCGTGAAGTTCAGGGATACAGGGTCCTGGCCTGGCTCCCAGCTAGGCTGCACTTAACAAAGCACATTTTGGAAGCATGATGATGGGAAGGTGTTATGATGGTGTGAACTGGTGGAATTATAAATATTTAGTCTGTCCCCCAGCCTCTAGCAAGAATGAATCTAAGCCAATACAGACTAGTAAGAAGCAGAGGTATTATTGAAGGTCCATTGAAAAGGAGATTCTATAGTCACCTTCCTCCCATTTTGGTAGTTATAAACTTTGATGTTTCCTGGTGATGGAAGAACTAAGGTTTGCCATTATCCAGAGAATTTTCCTTAAAGTCCACTGAATTAATCCTATATATATTAATGATATAGTACATATGTCCTATATATATATATATATATATATATATATATATATATAT